CTGCTGCGTCTGAAGACGCTGAATAGAGGTGCCCCGCCAGCGACTCCCCCAGCCCCCCAGCCAAACATGCCATCTGGAAACACCCGACAAAGGAAGTGCTACAGATAATTTTCTAAAAACGGTAAAATCGTGACTCCTATGCTGATACAAAATGAAGAGGGGTCAGATGTAGTAACTGGCTCAAAGAGGCAACAGAACAGTCACATTTATAGGCCAGGAATATAGAAATAAATGTGCCCATGGAGGCAAAACCGGTTTTCCAGAAGGGGGTGAAGGGGCCTCTCTACCAGACAAGACAGAATTGGTCAGTTGCCTACAATTTACAGTTGTAAAAGAATAATGAAAGGCTAGGGGCGCCTGGCTGGCTCCACTGGGAGAGCATGCCACTCTCGGGGTTGCGAGTTCAAGCCCCACATTAAACGTGGGGCCTCCTTCAAATTAAAAAAAAAAAAAAAAGAAAGAAAGAAAGGCTAGAATCTGATACCCCAGAAGGGTGTGCTGGGTGCAGACATAGTTTTCCACTGAAGTGCATGTTTTTTTCTGCAGAAGGAAGGCTGTGAACAGAGTACACTCCATGGTCTCTAATCTGATGATCATTCATGAGATGAATATGATTCACACACTATGAATGCAAGGTCCTTTCTGAATGAGTTGGGGACATTACTTCTCACTTGCAAGCGAGAGGCCTGCAGCCTAAGAGATGAGGGGCCCAAGACGTTTATGGGGTTGTTTTCTTTTTTCAGCTTTTTTTTTTTTTTTTTTTAAGTATAGCTGACATACAATTTTTCAGCTGGATTTTGGCATCTGTGTTACATAATGGATTCTGGAACATTCTAGACGGTGGGTGTTTGTGATGTGGGTCTGTAGCATTGGCCTGTAGTTTACGCTGGACCTGGTTTGGTACTGACTCCGCTGTGCAGCCCTGGGCAGTTACACCATCTCTCTGATATGCCACTTCCTTGTCTTTGAACTGAGATATTACTTCATAATTTTTTTTCATAGATTTTTTTTTCAATGAGTAGCCATTCACCTTATGAGAACTATCTTTTAAATTATTATTATTATTATTATTTTAAGTAGGCTCCACACCCAAAATGGGGCTTGAACTCAAGACCTTGAGATCAAGAGTTGCATGCTCAGGGGCCTCTGGGTGGCTCAGTCGGTTAAGCGCGTGCCTTCAGCTCAGGTCATGATCCCAGGGTCCTGGGATGGAGTCCTGCATCGGGCTCCTTGCTCACCGGGGAGTCTGCTTCTCCCTCTCCCTCTGCCTGCCGCCCCCCACCCCCGGCTTGTGCTCTCTCTCTGGCAAATAAATAAAATCTTAAAAAAAAAAAGAGTTGCATACTCTACTGACTGAGCCAGCCAGGAAGCCCTGAGAACTGTATTTTATTCGATTTTTTATTTTTTATTTTTTTTTAAAGATTTTATTTATTTATTTGAGAGAGAGAGAATGAGAGATAGAGAGCATGAGAGGGAAGAGGGTCAGAGGGAGAAGCAGACTCCCCGCTGAGCAGGGAGCCCGATGCGGGACTCGATCCCGGGACTCCAGGATCATGACCTGAGCCGAAGGCAGTCGCCCAACCAACTGAGCCACCCAGGCGCCCTTTATTCTATTTTTTAAAAGATGTATTTATCTATTTGAGGGAGAGAGAGAGAGCAAATGCCCGCACACACTTGAGCGCTGGGAGGCGGAGAGGGAGAGAATCTTCAAGCAGATCCTAGCTGAGCACAGAGCCCAATGAGGGGCTCGAGTCTAAGACCCATGAGATCACGACCTGAGCTGAAACCGAGCGGGACAGGCAGGGATTATTCCCATCTTGTGTCTGGAGAGGCTGAGGACCCCGTTAGGGGCCTGAGAACCTTGGTGACCCAGTTCGCTAGCCCATGCTGCCCTCTAGTGTCTGGGCACAGCACCTGCTTTCAGGAAGTCCCCGCAGCTGAGTTGCATCCTGCTGGGTTTGCAGAAAGCTATGGCCAGCCTTCCTGGGCACCCCCATCGGGAGGATCTCTCAGGATTCCTATATCCTTTTGTCACTTTATCAGCCCCTCTCCCCCTCTCTGAGCATTAAATATACTTACATATATATTTAATGGTAAAATATACATAACATTAAACAAATTCTAAACATTTGAATGTGTGTCCAGTTCAGTGGCTTCTTTTTAAAGCACCATCACACTGTTGTTCAACCACCTCCTCCAATCATTTCCAGGACATATTGCCTTGCAAACTGAAAGTCTGTACTCGTCAAACAACTCCCCATCGCCCCTCCCTCCAGCCCCTAACCAACAACCCTCTACTTTCTGCCTCTGTGAATTGGGCTATGCCAAGTACTCCACAGAAGTGGAATCCTACAATATTTGTCTTTTTGTGACTGGCTCATTTCACATTGCAGAAGGCTCCCCAGAAGTGTCCCCTTATGGAGTGATTTCAAAACATGCAGCCTGGAAGACAAAAGCATCTCCAGAATTTCATCCAGATACCATCCCTCCAAACACAACCAACCAGAAATAGGCTGGAACATGAGGAATCCCAGCACAAGGTTATGTATCCATGATAGGAAAAACCAAACCAAACCGAATGTGGTGACTAAGACAGCAAAGTGGCCCCTGGCAGCCGGGAGCCGGCCAGGCTGAGTGGCTCTGGGCCAATGGCAAAAATGGCCAGCATCCTCTGCCGTGAGCCACTGTCGCCTGACTACCAATCCCTGCTGTCGCGCCACCTCCTGGATAGAAATGCATCGTGCCCCTCAGTCTGTCATCCCTGCTTCCTGACAGCACACAGGGGGCAAACGCTCACCTCCCTAAATACTTCCCCAAATCCCTCAATACCAGCTGGAATCCTAGTCCTGGGAGTCTCTCCTAACGCCTGTGTACTGAGATGCCCCACGGTTCCCCGCACCGTGCGGCCTCTTGTGTTGCAGCTGGCATGGGAAACCCAGCTGTCACCGCCGGCATGTCCCCAGCGGTCTCTGACGGGCATCACAGGACTAGTGAGGAACACTAAGAGCTGCCAGCCAGCCCTGGGAGAGAACCCTCACCAGCCAGGTATTTCTTTCTTTTGGCCACAGCAACCCTCTGTGATAGAGGTCAGCATTGTTCCCATTTTACAAATGAGGAAAATCAAGGCTCAGGACTGATCACTTGTCCACACTGCTAAGAGTGGACAAGAGCCAGGTCTGGAGCACCCCCAAGGCCAGTGCTCCTTCCTCCACGCACGCTTCTCTCCTGGCTGTCTGCGTGAGCGTGGAGGATGACTTTCTGTTCATGTGCAGACAGCACACCCCGAGGGCCTCCCACAGCAGACGCTCCGCTCTGGGCACCCTGCAGCCACCCTTGCTGCTGGTGGCCTGTGTCCAGGAACGGTGCACCGGCATGCCTGGGGGTCGGCTGCTGCAGGCAAGTCTTTGTCACTGGACACGAGTTCCTCCATCTGCTGAGCTGAGCCCCAGTTTGGGGGAAGGAGGTATAGGCGCCGCCTGGACACTCGTACCACAGTGAACAGACACTCAACCAACATTCTTCCAGCTACTGCCAAAGGCCAATGTTTCCCTAGGTGAGATCTTAGTTGGAACACAGATGGACTTCTAATAGGTATGCATTTATTTTCATGTGTAATAGGAAAAAACATAACTAGCACATAAGATGTGACTGCAGGATATATTGTTTAGCATAAGACTAAAGTTCGAAAGAAGTAAAATAAAAAAGTATGTTGAGTCAAAGAAAATATTCAGGAAGAAGAGAACAGGAGGTCCTCGTTTACGACAAGAATTGTGGAGGTGGTACGTGAATGCCCGGAGTTTGGGACTCACTCTCCAAGCTTCGAGCCGGAAGCTGGGCTCTGCTCTGAGGCCCCTAAGGGGCTCTACAGGGAGACCCTCCCAGTACTCGGAGCCCAGGGCATCCCCGCAGGAGTGCGTGGTGCATCCAGACCACCCCAGGGAGGAAAGTACATTTTGTTTAATTTGTTTATGCCCTACAAGATGTCTTAGGAGTTACAAAGCAACAAAAGTGATTTTCCTTAAAAGGGAAGAATCTTCTAGGTATGGCCTTGAGGAAGCAGTGGTCACAGGGTAGCCTGGGCTGGAGGGTTTGAGTGGGACACGGGGGGGATAAACAGGGAGGCTGAAGGGTCACCCCAGCACTGTCCTGAAAGACTGTGCGCATGTGTGGGGTTTGTGGGCACAGCCCCAGTCAAGGCTGTAGGAGAAACACTCAGAGCTCCTGGGCCCTGTTCCCCAACATTCAATGGCACTTAGTCAATGCTGAATCGCTGTTGCACTGGGAGGAGTGCCGGAAGGCAGGGCAGAGGGGTGGCTGAGTGCCTGGTGTATCAGCATATACCACCCTCTCCTCCTGCCCCTGCTGTTCAGGTTAATACCTGGGTCTGGTCCCCATGTCAACACATGTCCTCCAGGTGAGAAGTCCAAGGTTGCCACCACTAGGCCACAGTCTTGTACGTTTATGAGACATTTCCTATCAAGATCCCCACCTCGCCCCAAATCCAAAGAATGTTTCTCACCATTTAAATCTCAAATTTTTAGAAAAGGGCTTTTTAAGGGACCTTGGAGGTTTCCCCCAAACACCTCAGTCCTGCAAGCCAGGGCTGGTCTTAGTAATCCCCTATGGGACAGCTAAAGTGTCATTGCTAGGGACATGGGGTGTCATCTAGAGAATTCACTCCAACTCACCCATGGAAATGGGGGTCAAGGCCAGCACTCAAGAGGGGCTAGAGCCTTGGAGATGGGAACCTTTGGCACGAGGCTCCTGGTCTGGAAGGCTTCCAGAGCCCAGAGGCTAGAAGGAGGCGTGGAAAGTCTGAGGAGCACTGTCTGCCAGCTGCCCACCTCTGAGCCGGGAGGGGACTGGGGCGGCTCAGCCCCTGTGTCCCGGACGTGGTGGGCAGAGCTGCAGGCTGGTCCCTGTCCCGGCTCAGAAGGAAAGTGTGCAAGAGTGGGTCAGAAAGGCAAACTGAGTCAGGAAAGGTGCCCCCCCAACCCCAGTGGGCGCCCTCAGCAGCACCCTGCGGCGCTCCGCTTCACGTGGCACGGCTTACAGAAGAGGCGGTTGTTCAGTGGGTAGCAGCCTTGGTCCGTGGGCTCCACAGACAGGAGGATCCTGCAGTCCTGCGGGAAACAAGGCACGAGTGGATGGACCCCAGGCCCGAGCACGGCAGCACAGAGCCCACACGGGGTGGGGACTCCCCCAGCATTTGCTGATGAAATGATGAAATTAACGGAAAAAATGCACTCCCAAAGGGTCGGGAGCATGGCCTCTCATTTTCATTCTCCCAACACACCTGGGCCAGGTCTTGGTCAGGGAAGAGGAGGCACATGGGGGCTTTCATCCACTCGAAGGTGTGAGTGATGAGGGAGGAGTCAGCTGAGGGGAGAACTGAAGACACTCAGAGAATCATGGACACTGAGGGATCATGGAAAGAGCTAGAAGGGCCTTAGCGACCACCCAGCAGCAGCCCTTTGAGAACGTAAGCTCTGCGAGGCAGTAACCCCATTTCCTGCTAGGTCCCACCTAGACCAGAGACTGGTACACCACAAGCCTACGATAACCATCTGCTGGGTGAATAATGGAATCTAGTCCAGTCCCCTCATTTCACAGCTGGGGAAACTGAGGTTTGGAGAAAGACAGGCTTGCCCCAGGCTGTACAGCTGGTCCTGGACTGGGACAGGACAGGTCTTCAGCCTGAATTCAGGCGTCTTTCAGCTTCAACACTGGCACAAACCTCCAATTTTTCAAATCACCAAAGGATGTCGGACTAAGGAGGACGGGGATTGGGGGCAAACTTTGGCCACTTTACCATTCTGCCACAGCCCACACCTCATTGGGGCCTCACCTGGGCACACGCTGGAGCGTGACAATGGGAACAATTAATGTCCAGAAACCTGGCTCAGGGTTCAGCTGGCACCTTCTGGAAGTTGCATGGCTCAGACCAGAGGGGCTGGTCCCCACAGAGACGACTTTGGGGTCCCAGCTGCCATCCTGACCCAGCACAGCCAGGGGAGAAGGGCGCCCTCGTGTGTCTATTCCCTGCAACTGCGCCTCAAGTCGCGCAAGGTGACGGGATGAGCACTATTCCTAAAGGCCACTTGTTTGGCATTCTGAGAATAACAAGTGCCAAACCTCAGGTCCCAAAGGGGCCCATGTGACCTCTCCTAAATTAGGATCAAGGGAGAAAACACCTCAACTACGACCGAGTCGCAGTCTGTGAGGGAGCGGGGGGGCTGGCCCTAAGCTGGCTAGACCGGGTCAGACAGACCAGGGTTGGAGTCACTTTTCTCAGGCTCAGTTTTTTCATTGTTCCTCATCTGAGATGGCACTTTGGAGCCCATTTCCCTGCTTGGGGGAAAGAGCACCCCGAATCAGTTCTGGGCCACGGTGGTTCAAGGCTTCCCCTCTGAAATGTAACTGCTAGAGCCCGAGCCCTGACTTACAGCAGCAACCTGGGTGACTCTCACGGTCGCCTTCGCCAAGCCGACCAAGGGCAAGCAGGGAGGGTTTGTTTGCTCACCAGCCAGGCTCAGGGAAAAGCTAATCGCCACTGGGCTTAATGAGGGCTAGGGTGGTGATAACAGCACTTGAATGACATCATTGTTCTTGTAAGATGTGTTATCAGCTGGACCTTGAACCATAGCCAACGCACAACATAATATGGAGCAATATATCAACTTCTCTACCAAGCCCCCTTGTCACTTGAGTGCAAACGGTCTCTTGGCTCCATACATCTGTTTAAATAAGTGCAAAGTAAAATAAATGTTTGGAATTACTCACTGGCTGGCTAAGAGATTTCCTCTGGGACACCCCCACTTAGGTGGCACCCATAAAAGTTGCTACCTTTGTCACCATCGCCAGAGAAGACACATCAGCAACACGGGAGTGATGGAGGAAGAGGCAGGGGAGGACTCGGAGCCTCCCCAGCAGGACTGACTACATAATAGCAGAGCCCAGGGCAAAGTGCAAAGTAGAGCCCGTTGTTCGAAGAGGAAGAATTTCAGGACGGTGACAGCAGAGCTTTGAAGCAAGCATGGGACGCTGCTGAGCGGGGGACCCTGTGCTGGGCATTTCCTGCTGGGGCTACTGCACCAGCTTTTTTTTTTTTTTTAAAGATTTTATTTATTTATTTTTTTAAAGATTTTATTTATTTATTTGAGAGAGAGAGAATGAGAGATAGCACAAGAGGGAAGAGGGTCAGCGGGAGAAACAGCCTCCCTGCTGAGCAGGGAGCCCGATGTGGGACTCGATCCTGGGATTCCAGGATCATGACCTGAGCCGAAGGCAGTCGCTTAACCAACTGAGCCACCCAGGCGCCCCAACTACTGCACCAGTTTTAAGCAGCGTCCCCCTGTCAGCCTCCCTCCACCCTGCAGCATCCCTTTCTTCTTTCCTAGGCTTGTAGCAACCCCTCTTGGTCTCATAGGGTCCTGCTTCATTGGCCCCGGGGGTTGTCAATCATGGCCCCCCCGGCCAGTGATTGGCTCAGAATGATTGGGTCATGTGACCCAAGCTGGGCCAATCAGAGGCCCTCTTGAGACGGTACCGGTTCCCTTGATGGGGTTTCTAAATTGGAAGGATGACCATGCCTGTATCCCTCTCCTCACAGAGGATGCTAGCCCCCCAGGAAGAGAAAATGAAGGAAACACACAACACAGGCAGAACCGAGAGACGGAGAGAGAGCCCTGATGATCTCATCAATGACCTCAACGACAGCCTTCGCATGAGATTCCCTTTCTTGAGGAAAGCAGGATGGGCTTGGTTTTTATCATTAACTCGGAGCTCTGATTAATAGACTCTATTTGTAATGATCTCCATTCTTATCTGTCTCTGCTCCTGGGCCGTGAGCCCTTGAGCTGAGTCCCCACCCTGACTCGTCCCCGAGTCCCCGCGCCCAGCGCAGGCCTGGCACCCCCCCCTCTCCGGGCGCCCGCCCCCCGCCCCCAGCAGCGCGATCCTAACTCTTCACCGCCCCACTCACCTCACACCTGTAGCAGTTTTCATGGAAGTTCCTTCCCATGCACTCAATTTTGAAGGCATCCTTCCCGTCTCGAGGGATGATGGGGTTCTCACAGATGCTGCACACCGGGGCGAATTTCCTAGAGGGAAGGGAACCCACGCTCGAGGCGCTCCGGCCAGGACCGCAGAAATTAGCTGTGGGAGCCGGGGCGGCGCTCGCTCGCCTCCCCGAGCTATGTCAGACGCGTTGCCGTGTGATTCCACGGCCACAAACGCCTTTCTTCCTGGCAGGAGCGGAGGGAGAGACCGGTGTGATTAGACCCGGCTTCCCAGGGTATAATTAGCTCGAGGCAAGGAAGTGACTGGGGAACGTTTGAATTTGAGAAAGCCAAGAAATCTCCTGTGTGTTCAGTGGGGCTGACCCCATTTCGTTTATCTGGTATTGTAGGTCACTGCTGCTGCTTCTACTTCTTCTTCCCTGTCTTTTGAACAGACACATCTGTCTCTCCCCTTGGGCCATGAGCAACCCCAGGGCAGGGGGCATGAGCCTGACGCCTAGCTTGGGGCTACTGCTTCATAAGGCTCTAGTTCCAAAGGGAGCTCCTGGGGTCTGGGGGTTTGAATCGTAACTTCCCTATGTACCAGCTGGGAGACTTGTCTGCTGCTTGCCTCAGTTTCCACATTTGGTAAAAGAGAGTGCTTAATAGTACCTGCCTGACAGGCCAGGCTTGGGGATTAAAGGGCCTAACCCACGGGGAGTGCCTGGCACAGCGCAGGTACCCCGAGTGTCTGCTAGAAGCAGGTGTGCGGTCAAATATAAGGTGTGTGGAAGAGGCAGATGGGTTTCTGTGAGCCCAGAGCCTGCAGGAATGCTCTACTCCAGCCCCTAGAGCTCAGGCCAGGTGCCTCTGTTCTGGCCGAGTCCCACCCAGTGCACAGATCCCTCTCGTACCTATAGAAGTCGTCCAGGCAGTACACTTCGTCCTGGCTGTCCAGGGCAAAGCTCTCATCCCCGATGCACCGGGCACAGGTGACGCACGTGAAGCAGGCGGGGTGGAAGGCCCGGCCCAGGGCCCTGATGATGTGCTCCCGGACCACCTCGCCACACTTGCCACACTTCTCCAGGGTGTCCTGGGACAGAGGGACATTGCCTCAGAGCCATCCAATGGCTGTACCCACTCCCAGCCAAAAGGAGTTTCTGGCTGGTGACCCACAGGGGCCCAGAAGCACAGGGCTATAGGAGAAGGGCTCCCATTCATGCAACCAGCCTGTAACCACTGCCCCAAAACCTCTACCGTTGCTTAAAGTGAATCGAGCCTAGCATAGTATCTTGGGCTTACAGCGAGGAATCCTGTCAAGAAGCTATTCCTGCATTTTTTTGTTACTAGGACATGCTTAAGGCCAGTGTCCACTAGAGCCCATAGGAGAAATCTCTCTTAAACCTCAGAGTCAGGAAAAGGAATTCCTGGAAGAACTGGTGTGCTTTTGATCTTATAGACAATAAACCTCAAAACTCTTTCCCTTTTCCATTTGGCCACTGGGAAGCTCAGAGTCAAATTCCATGCCCCACTTTTAGGAATGACTGTAGGGGTCTTTTATTCATATATTTTGGGGTACTAACTTTCCCTCTGCTCTCATCTCCCTTTCTGCTTTGATTTTCCCCTCTTCTGATTTCTTTAAATATCTCTGAAATTTCATTGTGGTAAGAACACTTAACATGAGATCTACACTCTTAGCAAATTTTTAAGGGTACAACATTGTTTCCTATAGGTATTTGTGCATTCTTATAAGCTGCCTCAAATCCCTTCTGGAATGAGGAGGATGAAGGGGGTGGGGAAGGGGAAGAGGGAGGGATGGGGGAAAGGAGGAGGAAGCCGGGGGAGGGAGAGAGGGAGATTACTGAGGCAGAGCAAAGACCTTCCAGCCCGTCCACCTTCTCTTCTAGACAGGTCTCTTCCCTTCCTGGCTATGCTCCTGTTCATTTAACCTGATTTCATCCAGACAGACAGGTATGTTTGTCTCTGCTCCCATTCGGTGAGGACAACATTTTCCCCTCTCTCCCTGTCCTGGGGGCAGCCCTTCCCTCCCTGGAACACTGCCTAGAGTCTTCCTCCTGCTGCCTCCAGCTGTCAGTCCACCCTCGCCCCTGCTTCCCCTCAGTGCCTCACTCCTGCCTGGCTGTAAGCTGAGGGAGGAGGCCAAGGCTATCCCCCGCTGTCATCTGATGGGGTCAGAGGGATGCGGTGGGGATGGCCTGGCCCCTTGCTGCCCCCATGGTGCCTCACTGGATTCGGTGATGTGTTGAGACTGTCATCAGATTGTTTGGATTTTACTAGATAGTCCTCCAAATATTCTAACCCTTCCAATCAGTGGCTTTCCAACAGCAGTGTGTGTATCAGAATCACTGAGAGACTTGCTAAAAGTGCAGATTGCCAGGTGCTACCAACTCATGAGAACAAGGTGAGGCCTGCACACAGCCAGGGGACACGTCTGGGAGTGGGCTGCACACCCCACGCCATCAGAGTGCTAGCAACTCTAACATCGAGGCATCCAAACTAGCTCTCCCAGACTGCATCTGGTACTCAGAGGTGACAGAGATTTCTGTGAGATCGTGCATCAGAACCTGTGGCTTTAGGTGACAGAGGCAAGACCACGGGCAGGCTCCAGAGCCAGACGGGGCTGGGGGAGAATCCCAGCTCCACCACCTTCTGGAGTGTGATGTGTGTGACAGGCTGGGCCTAATCCCTGGAACCTGTGACTACCTTTAATGGCAAATATGATTGAGTTCAGTGTCTTGACCTGGGGATATGATCCTGGGTGGGCCCTAAGTGCCATCCCAAGTGTCCCCGTAAGAGGAAGGCAGAGGGAGATTTGACACAGAAGGAGGAAGTAGGACACTGAAGCAGGATGCCACCCTGCTGATTTTGAAGGTGGACGAAGGAACCAAGGGATGCAAGGGACACAGCTTCAGAAGCTGGAAAAGGTAAGGAAACAGATTCTCCCCTAGAGCCTCTGGAGGGAGTGCAGACTTGCCTACGGACTTCCGACCTCCAGAACTGTAAGAGAATAAATGTGTGCTGTTTGAAGCCATTAAAGTTTGTGGTGATTTGTTTTTTTTTTAAAAGATTTTATTTATTTATTTGACAGAGAGAGAGAGAGCGAGAGAGGGAACACAAGCAGGGGGAGTGGGAGAGGGAGAAGCAGGCTTCCTGCTGAACAGGGAGCCCGATGTAGGACTTGATCCCAGGACCCTGGGAACATGACCTGAGCCGAAGGCAGACGCTTAACGACTGAGCCACCCAGGCGCCCTGTGGTGATTTGTTACAGCGGCCACAGAAAACTAATACACCTTGGCTGAGCTCCTTCCCCTCGCTGAGCCTCAACTTCCTCATCTGTGAAATGGGTCACTGGGCCTGCCTCCCAGGATAACTGTGGGGCACGAAATAACGGGACACCTTCCAAGTGCCCAGCACGGTGCCTGGTGCCTGGAGGTCAGCTGCAGGGGGTTACCTGGTAGCAGGACTCACAGAAGGGCCGCCCGTCCTTCTGGTAGTAGCTCTGCCCAGCTAGCTGGCAGCGGCAGGTGCGGCACGTGAAGCACTGGGCGTGGTACTGCCTCTTCATGGCCTCCACGGCCAGCTCTCGGGGTGACACGGTCTTGTGGCAGAAGGCACAGACGTCTGGGGTGGAGGAGACACAGGATGTCAGCCACCCGGCCTGGGAGAACGGCGCCCAGGCACCGCCCGGGACAAGCCTAGAGCGCTGGGTCTCTGCCTCGAGCCCCCGGGGTTGTGAGCGTGGCCTCATTTTAGGAGGAGCAGTAAAAAAGGATCGTGAGCAGCCTCTGAAAGCCTAAATCAGGGACGGACGCCTGGCTGGCTCAGTCGGTGGGGTGTGTGACTCTTTTTTTTTTTTTAAAGATTTTATTTATTTATTCGACAGATAGAGAGACAGCACAAGCAGGGGGAGTGGCAGGCAGAGGGAGAGGGAGAAGCAGGCTCTCCGCCGAGCAGGGAGTCGGACGTGGGGCTCGATCCCAGGACTCCAGGATCATGACCTGAGCCGAAGGCAGCCGCTTAACCGACTGAGCCACCCAGGCGCCCCGCGTGTGTGACTCTTGACCTCAGGGTTGTGTTTGAGCCCTACATTCGGTGTAGAGATTACTTAAAAATAAAATCTTTAATGAAAAAAAAAGCCTAAATCAAGGGACACAGCATCAGCACGAGTGAGTTGCCATCCGTAAAAATTTAAAGGAGGCTCCATGGGGACACCTTTATACCCAGATAATTCCAAATGTATCAAAGATCTAGGTGTGAAAAATGAAACCATAAGACTAGAAGAAGCCAGAGAATTATGTTGTAACCTTGGGTAGAGAAGGCTTTTGGTGCCTGGTAAGCACTTAGTAGCTGCTAAGTAAATGGCTAACACGCGGGCCTGGGGAGGCTGGGGGAGGTCATGCCCTCAGACACTGCTGGGGGGGAATGCAGATCGAGGGGACCACAGAGGCCAATGTGGCAACAAGATCAAAGTTATAGGGGCGCCTGGGGGGCTCGGTCGTTAAGCGGCTGCCTTTGGCTCGGGTCACGATCCCAGGGTCCTGGGATCGAGCCCCGCATCAGGCTCTCTGCTCCGCGGGGAGCCTGCTTCTCCCTCTCCCACTCTCCCTCTCTCGCTGTCTCTCTCTGTCAAATACATAAAATCTTAAAAAAAAAAAAAAAGATCAAAGTTATAAATGCACCTACCCTTTGACGGTATTTCCTCTCCTAGAAATTTCTCTCACAAATTTGCACGCAGGCAAAATGACCTACGTGCAAGGCGATTCGTCTCAGCCTCATTTGTCACAGCAAGAAACCACCTAAGTGCCCGTCCACAGGCAACTGGCTAAATGCATATGGCAGGGCCCTGATAAGGAATACTATACAGCTGTGAAAAAGAAGGAGCCACTTTACGTTCAGATGTGGAACGAGCTCTAAAATGTTTGAAGGAAAGGAAGCAAGGTGCAGAACAGCACAGAATTTGCTACAGTTTGTGGGGAAATGGGCCAGGGTCGGGAGGGCAGACACATATTTGTATTCGCTTGCGTATGCATCAAATATCTCTGGAAGCATATGTGAGACATTAACAACGGAGGCTGCCCATCTGGCAGGAAAGAGGGGCACACACGGATGGTGCAAAGGGGAGACTTTTCACTGTATGCCTTTCCATGCTTTTTATTTTGTCTAAGCAAGAACATTATGTGTTCAAAAAATTAAATAGTGAAAAAATTCAAGGCATTTTGCTATCATAGCACATTTTGCTGATCAATATTTAAATGGACTTGAGCTCAGCGCCCCTGGTTGGGGGGCGCGGTCAGTGGAGCATCCAACTCCTGATTTAGGCTCAGGTCATGATCTCAGGGTCATGAGATTGAGCTCTGCATCAGGCTCCATGCTCAGGGGGGAGTCTGCTTAAGACTCTCTCTCCCTCTGCCCCTCCTGCACCACCCCCTCAAATAAATACAATCTAAAAAAAAAAAAAAACCTAGCATAAAAAATGGATTTCAGTTATAAAGGAAAAAGATTTAGGTAATAAACATAAAATTGATGTACAGTTATAAGGTTCATCGCTGAACCGTGAGCGGGAACAGGTGCTGGTGGTCCCCCCCTCTCCTGGTTCCCACCTGGAAGCTCATGCTTGTCCAGTGAGGCCCCTGGAGACCACCCGGAAGCCTTCCAGCCCTGAGTCCATACCTGTGGATGCCGCTTTCTCGTGGAGGCCAACAGGTTCTTCTGGGGGAGGCAGAAGCTCCTCTCCTGCGGGCCCGGCAAAACCAGGCCGGGGCTGGAGTGGAGGCCCCTCCACCAGGGACTGTGGGGAGACAGGGGGAGGGCAGGAGAGGTGTCATCCGGTGGGGACCCCACACAGCCCTCTCAGCTCTGCTCCGCCTCTGATGGCACCAAGCACAATTAGCCCCGCTTTGTAGAGGAGGAAACCGAGGCACAGAGAAGCAAGTGACCTAATGTCACTCAGCAGGAAGGTTGACAGCAGTGGCTGGGGCCCAAAGCTACTTCTGTCTACTTCTGAAGAATCTTCTAGAATCGTTCTTCCCTGGCCTGGAATCCTGCCCATTAATACAATGGCCTCTATTAAGGGCAGAGGATTAAAAATATCTTCTCAGAGCTGAAGCGGGGGTACCCCAGGGGGAAAAGGGCATGGCACCCCTCCTCCAGGGGCCTAGAAAAACAGACCAACTTTTACCAGCTTGAAAGTTTCGAAGAGGGACAGCCCTCAAGCAGGAGCAACCTCCAGGCTTAAATCCCTGAAAGGCTGGGACTCTCCCCATGCACCCCCCCACCAGCCTTCCCGGGGCCCCTGGGGCTCCACTGGGGGTGGGGGAGACCAAGGGGTTGGCAGTACCTGGGGTGGGGGTGGGGGCGGGGGCAGGTGCTCTAAGTCTGAAATGAGTGATGCTCCCATCGAGGCAGGGGGCTCCTCATCAGGGGAGGGTGGTGGAGGTGGGAGGAGGTCCAGGTCGGGGAGTGTGTCCTCGCCATCCAAAGTAGGAGGAGGGGGAGAACATCCTGCAAACAAAAGGGGAGAGAGGGTTGGTCTGAGTCTCTGCAGGCGGGCAGAAAGGGTGTCCACTTACCCAGAAGGCCATACAGCGTGGGGGCCAAGAGTTCAGGTCCAGGGTCCCCCAGACCTGGGTTCTATCTCTGGCTCTGCCGCTGACTTGCTGTGTGTCCTTAGGCAAGAGACTTAACCTCTCTGGGTCTGTTTGCTCAGTTGAAACATGGGTATCAATCTTTCCAGGCTGTTGTGAGGATGGGAAGGGCTTAGCACAGGAGAGGGCACTTGGCATGGGCTCAGAAAACAGAAGCTGTCAGAACCCTCCATAACAGCCCTCCCCTACCTGGACACTCAAGGGCCCCAAATCCTTGCTAGAAGGTCCTTGTTGAAATACAAGCAAACTCAACCCCTAAGGCCGTGGTTCTCAAAGTGTGGTTCCTGGCTCAGCAGCAGTGCCTAGAAGTATGTCCGGAAATGCACCTTCTGGGTCTGCCCCCGATCTGGAGAATCAGAACCTGGGGTGGGGGTGGAGGGTGTCCGGCCACAGAAAGCATAAGAAACCCTCCCAGTGACAATATGCCACCAAAGTGTGGGAACCACCACCCTGGTTAAATAACCCATCCAGGTCCACACCGAGATGTGCTGGAAGACTCGGGGCTGAAAAAAGAATCTAAAATATCTCATTGATAATTTTCGTAACTACTGCTGAAATGACCATTTTACTGTAGCGGATGGCATAATATACATCATTAAAATTAATATTACTTGGGGGACCTGGGTGGCTCAGTCGGTTAAGCATCTGACTCTTGATTTTGGCTCGGGTCATGATTTCAGGCTCCTGGGATGGAGCCCCACATCAGGCTGCACACTGAGCCTGAGAGGGGAGCCTGCTTAAGATTCTCTCCCTCTGGGGGCGCCTGGGTGGCTCAGTTAAGCGACTGCCTTCAGCTCAGGTCATGATCCTGGAGTCCCTGGATCGAGTCCCGCATCAGGTTCCCTGCTCGGCGGGGAGCCTGCTTCTCCCTCTGACCCTCCCCCCTATCATGTACTCTCTCTGTCTGTCTCATTCTCGTTCTCTCAAATAAATAAATAAATCTTAAAAAAAAAAAAAAGATTCTCTCCCTCTGCCCCTTCCCCTCCCCCGCTCGTGCACAAGCTCGCACTCTCTCTAAAAAATAAAATAAAATAATAAAATTTAAAAAAGAGCCACCAGGGCGCCTGGGTGGCTCAGTTGGTTAAGCGACTGCCTTCGGCTCAGGTCATGATCCTGGAGTCCCGGGATCGAGTCCCACATCGGGCTTCCTGCTCAGCAGGGAGTCTGCTTCTCCCTCTAACCCTCTTCCCTCTCGTGCTCTCTATCTCTCATTCTCTCTCTCTCAAATAAATAAATAAAATCTTTAAAAAAATAAAAAATAAAAATAAAAAAGAGCCACCCAACAGCAAACACATGTACATACATAAGAAAAACACCCTGGCATGACATCATTTTCATGGTTAGTGCAGGAGAGCTTAAGTCTATTTTTTTTAAGGATTTGAGAGAGAGAGAGAGCAGGAGCAGGGGGAGTGGCAGGCAGAGGAAGAGGGAGAAGCAGACTCCCCGCCGCGCAGAGAGCCCAGGACCCCGGGATCATGACCTGAGCCAAAATCAAGAGTCAGATGCTTAACCTGACTGAGCCACCTGAGACTCAGGCGGCTCCAGGCGCCCCAGGAGAGCTTAACTCTTGCTGGGACAGCTGAGGTCTACAGAGGTTCACAGAAGGGGAGGGGCCCGGATGGAGGGAGGAGGAGGGCTAAGGATCTGCGGAGCTCCTGCCTCAGCCCCAGGCTCTGCTCTGTCCAGGAACAGCTCCCTACACTGTGCGGCAACTCCCACCCCTCTTGGCAGTCCCAACAAGGCGCTGCCCAGCTCCCCTGGAGGAGGTGCCTGGGGGTCAGGAGGGAAGCACGCCTCGAAAATCCTGTTGGCTGCCACGTGCAGGGAGAGTGCTATTAATAGTGCTCCAGGGAGAAAGGGCAGGGAATCTGGTCTGAGTCTGCCCTCTGCTCCCCTCCTATCTCTGGGGCACAAGGTAGGCCAGGCCTCACAAGGTCAGACTGCCTTTGACACCCATGGAAAGCAGACAGAAGGTGCCCCAGGCCCTGCCCGCCCGCTGCTGCTCCCCCCCCCCCCCCCCCGCCCAAGACCCAGGGTCTGGTCCCATTCCCTGCTGATTCACTGGGGCACCTCTCTGGGCTTAGAGGTTTCTTATCCATTTGACGAAGAAAATGAGCCCCCTCCCCTTTCTCCCAAGGACTGAGGGGGTACAGATGGGAGGATTATTCTAGACCTGTGAGTAAGCCACAGAATCCTCTGGGGGCTTGCTCAGATGCAGATGGTGGGCCCCACCCCCAGAGCTTCTGACTCAGCAGGCTTGGGGGAAGAGCCTGAGAATTTACATTTTTGAAAAGTTCCCAGGTGAAGCTGCAGCTGCTGGTTGAAAGCCCACACTTGGAAAACTAGGCTTCTACTCCCCAAGCTTCACTTGCTTAATGCCTTTGGGCTAGAACAATAGTTCCCCAATCCGGGTCCCCAGACCAGGGCATCGGCATTACCTGGAAATGTGTAAGAAATGCAAATTCTCTGGCCCCACCGCAGACCTGCTGAATCAGAAACACCCAGGGTGGGGCCTGGCCGGCTGGCTGTGTTTGAACAAGCCCCCTCCTGAGCTGAGGCTGCTCCAGTGTGAGAACCTTGCTCCAGATGAGCTGAAGTGAGTCAGGAACCGGATCACGGAGAGACAGCAGGAGTGCTCAGGCCTCGCCCGGGACTCTGCCTTCGGTCCTGGCCAGGACAGGAATTCAAGGCGGACGGACAGGGGCTAGAGGCCTGCAGGCAGGTGTGCAGAGGGCCCCAGTTGAACCAGGGTCACGTGGCCAGGAGCAGGAAGAGCAGACTTTTAAAGAGAAGCCCAGAGAAAAACTGACTTCTGAATGCGAGTTGGTGAGGCTGCCTCAGTGCCCGTGAGCATCTAGAGGGGAGTGGGGACGGAGCGAGGGAAAGGTGGGGACCTCTGTCAGGATGAAAGGGCCGAAAAAAAATGTGTGTGGATTCCCGAGGGGACAAGCTCTAGCTGGGGTGTCAGATGACAGCCTGCAACTGAGATGGGTCTAAGCAACTGGCAGGGCCCCAGGGCCTGCTCTGTGCTCTGTGGTCAGGCCAGACTCAGGCCCAAGCTGCTCGCCTAGAACTTGTCTCACTCAAGCGAGGCTGAACCCCAAGATTCCCTGAGCTCTGCCCATGGGCCAAATCGGAAAACAAAATGGCGGACCAGCTGACCAGCCACTGCTGGGCGCCCCCTCCCAGGGAAGGTCCGCTTTTGTTATCACACTCCCAGGATCTTCTGATATTCCAATAACCCATGCAAATGTCCTGGAAATGTTGGCATTAGGGGCATCTACACTATACATCCTGGACTCCCTCTCCTACCCAGAAGGGACGTCATTCTTTTCCCCTGGATCACACATCCTGCTGTGTGAATTCTGGTCCTTGTGGTCCTGGTTCTATATGGAAGCACCTGGAGGAGGCTGTGTTCTTGGGATGCATGGTTAGGAAGGAAAGATCAGTTTGCAAGGTCGTGTCACGTGAAGAGGCATGCTACATGAATGTCCGTGTATTCCCACGTGTGTACACACGTGGCCCCTTCTTCTGCCCTTTTCTGGCCTCCTGGAATTGGCAGTTCCTATTGGTCTTCAGGTGGTTTCTGCGGTGATGGATGCACAGGGCTACCCTAACCTTGCTCAAGGACAGCAGGACACCCGACTCGGCACCCGGGGGATACCGGGGGCTCATCCTTGATGTCTCTGTGCCGCCTCATTCCACCCGGTGTCCTGTAAGGCAAGCCATCCCCCTGCCCCAGGGTTGTCCTCCTTCCTCGTTTCTACCCAACCAACAGCTAAGACTCCAAGGAGTGGAGTCTCCAAGGCTCTTCGACACGATGGCAGCAGAGCCAAGCTCAAGGTAAAGGAACAGCCATGTATGAAGTATACCCGTTCCGCGATGGGTGCATCACATACATGACCAAATTTCCACTTTCCAGAGGAGGAAACCAAGCAAAGACCCAGCTCGCCTAAGACCACACAGCAAGTGAATGGCAGAGCTTGAGAGAGAATAAAACCACCTTTGAGGTCCTTCAACGTGCCCAATCCATTCCTGCCTCAGGGCCTCTGCACTTGCTTTGCCCACTGGCCAGAGAGGGTACGTGGCTTGCCAACATCACACAGCCAAGTGGAAGAGCCAGGATTCAAACCCGGGCAGGTGGGCTTGAGTCTGCCTGGCACACAGTAGGTGCTCGATGAATGAACGGACACCTGAATGGGCTCAGAGCCTGTCCCTTCCTCCCCACCTCCGTGCTGCCTCTGACCCAGCCTCCTGCCCAGTCCCCTCACCTTCTTACCTCCGTTGGAGAGCTGAGGTGGTACGGCTGGCACGGTGGCTGCCGCCCTGGCAGGGGGTGTCCAAGGGCTGGGCCTCCCTGCCGAGCCAGCCCCGGGGGCCTTCACGGCAGCAGGGGGCCCCCAGGGGCGGCCAGGCCGGGCCTCACAAGCCGCCCGCTTCACTTCCTCAGCCACTGCCATGTTTCGCCGCGGGGGGGCCAGCGTGATAAAGACAGACGAGGCGACCCTCTTCCCCGGCTTCGAGGCCATTGTCTCGATTCCTGCTGGGGCTGGGGACAGAGTGGGGCTCAGGCTGGGGCAGGGCTTCGGGCCCAGGACTGCACTCCTCCTAGCCAGACAGGCATCCCCGGGGCACGGAGCCTCCCTGCTCCTAACATGACAGAGACAGAGGAGGGGCTGGGGATGTCCCGCGGGGGGAGGGCAGGTGTCCACCAGGTGGCTTGGCCACAGGGAGGGGACCCAGCAGTCCTGACCGCCCCTGCCCCCAACCTGCGCACCCCGGGGGGAAGCAAAGGGCAGCCCTGCCCTGCTCACCTCACAAATGATTAATCTTCCTCATCTGAGAAGCGTGAGGAAGGAGCAGCTCCTCCAGCTGCCCACCCCCAGGGCAGCCACCTGCTGGTCCCAGCCCAGGGCCCCGCCTGCTGCGGGGCCACACACCAGTTACCTCCCTCACCTGGGACCCAATCCTCCTGGGAGGGTCAAAGTCCCGGGGCGGGGCGGGGGGGGGGGGGGTCCAGGCCAGCTCTGCTGTGGGAGGGAATGAGCGTGACCAGTCAGAGCATCAGGGTTGGGTTCCTGGAGGCAGAGGGGACAGAAGATCAATCTGAGCTACCACGGATCAAGGCCTACTCTGCACCCACCATCCTAAGCCCTTTCTGCCCGCTCACTCCTAAGTCGTCCCGGCCGCTGGGGGAGAGGCGCTATGACTCTCCTGGCAGAGGGAGAAGCGAAGGCTCAGAGAGGTGTAGTCCCTTGTTCAGGGTCATGCAGCAGCAGAGCCAGGATCTGAATCCAGGGTCCGTGCTCTTGACCACGTGGCTCTGCCACCGTCTCCCAGCCCAGCCCAGCCCACCGCCCACATCCTTTTTTCAGTATCTGCCTCCAAATCCAATCAGGTCTTGATTCTACTGTCAGAATCTCTCACTCTGTCCCATCTCCAAAACCGGGCTCTGGTTCAGGCACTGGGGTGAGGTAGGGATAGGAGACCCAGCGGTTTCCAGTCCTGCCTCCTGCCCTGTCCCTGGAGTGATCTTTCCAGAGCATAAATCTATCTCTCCTGTACTCAAAAGCCTTCCATAGCTCCCTACTACCTTCAAAATGAAGTCCAGATTCCTCTGGCTTCAACTTTTTTTAAAAGATTTTATTTTTTAAATAAATAAATGCCTGGGTGGCTCAGTCAGTTAAGGGTCTGACTCTTGATTTCGGCTCAGGTCATGATCTCAGGTCATGAGATCAAGCCATGCCTAGCACGGAACCTGCTTACTATTCCCTCTCTCTCCCTCTCCCCCTCCCCCACCTTCTCTCCCTCACTCTCTAAAAAAGTTTTTTAAAAAAGATTTTATTTTGAAGTAATCTCTACAGCCAACATGAGGCTTGAACCCACAGCTCTGAGATCAAGAGTTGCACACTCTTCCAACTGAGCCAGCCAGGTGCCCCTCAATTTCTTTTTTGACCACCCTGGACCGCTCACCCTTTCTCAACTTTTTCTCTTACTGTCCTTGGAGTGTTTCCACCCCTTGTTTTTCCTCCCCTGCCCCCCAAAGGGCGAATGTCAGTTTTTTCTTAGAGGCCCAGCTTTTCCAGGAAGCCTCCCCTGATTCCTGACCCCCTCCTGGGAGCAGCCGTCTGCTTCCGCAGGGTGATGACAGCCCATCACAGGACATGTTGGCTCCCTGTCACCACGTCTGCCCCTACCTCCCCAAGTGACTGCATGTGACTTCAGCTCTACCCGTAATCTTTGTGACCCAAGTCCAGCGTGGACATCAGAACATGGATCTGGGAGCAGGGCAGCATTCCTGATGTCAAGGAGCTCATTTTCCATGCCCCAGGTGGTGACTGCAAACAGTAGCCTCCAAGGCCAAGGCTGAGGTGGGGCCACTCGGGTGGGGGGAGGGCAAGTTGACCACATTCAGCCAGGGGTCCTCACTGGGCTCCCAGGACTTCTGCCCAGTTTGAGCTTTCTAACTCACTCTCCAGCTGAGCCACCTGGATATGGCTCCAAAGTCCAGCCCACAGGTGTGCAGGGAGAAGAATAAACAGGGACCCTAGTGAGTGAATCTCAAGAAGTGGGGCCGGGTGGGTAGGGGCTGAGGGCCCTGAGGGACCCCAGTGGCGGACTTGGAGCCCAAGTGACCACTCATACGGCCCCCCTCTGTATCTCAAAGTCCACTGGCCACCTTGGACTCTCTTGGTGACTGATGGAATAATAGTAACAAACACAACAAATGTGCCTCAATTCCTCTTAAACTGGTTTATATGTTCGGTTAAAACATATAGCTCAGTCTGATTAATAAAATACCTGTTCTGAGTAAGAAACCAACATATGAAGAAAGCTTTAACAGTGCTTTCAAAGGACTTTCCTTTTGCATCTTGTTCTGTAAGTGATGTTTGGAAGTATATATGCTTGCTGATATTGGCCGCCATGGTCAGAGGTCAAAACCATATGGTTTGACACTTTGGCCTTATGCTCGGTTATAAGCTTAAGAGTCTATTTTTGTAAGCAGCTTTCAGAGATTCACATCCAAGAAACGACAGCAACGGCACCTACTGACCAAGCACTTGCTACGTGCCGGGCCCTGCAGCTCGTGCCTTCCGAGCCTCAAAATGCACTTCATTTGCAACACAGCCCCTCATGCCCCTACCTTACAGGTAGTTCCATGTGAGGCCCCGAGAGGTTAAGTGACTTTTCCAGGGCATCTTAGCAGACTTGGCAGACTCAGAATTCTAACTGAGCACCATTTGACCTGAGTCCCGGGGGTGTCCTTGGACCTGAGACGACACACTTTTCCTTCCCTGGATGGTACGGGGCCTCCAAATCCTCAGGCCTGTTCTCACCCCAGGATGGCCCAATCCGGATAGATTTTCTTGTGGTCAGTGCATTCTGGGCTCATCCCCAGAGACTGCTGTGAATGCTCCCTCCGCCTCCCTCCGACCCTGCTCTGACCCCCACTCCACCCCAGCCCACCCCTCCGGGAAGTCAGATCTGTGGGTTTCTCGGAAAACATCCAAGGCAAATGTCCTCGCTCTGAGGCCAGATGTTCACAGCTGGGCAGCTCCGCCCCCCCCCATCCCTCCCTGCAGTTCCTGCAGGGACTTCAGGCCCCAGGGGAGGGGGCCCCCACTGGGGATCTTCAAAGCCTGTCAGTCCAGCCCGGGCTGTTAGGAGAGGGAGCCTTGGCCTCCCTCAGGTCCCACGGCCCCCAGGTCACCCTGGAGTGGGGTAGGAGTAAGAAAGCTCCCCGTGGAGCTCCCGGCCAGCCGCACCCACGGGACCCTCCGCCCCCATCCTTCCTCCCGCAGAGGGGGAATCTGAGATCCAGTTGGGTAAGCAGAGAAAGTGGGAACAAAGGGAAAGAAAGTCATTTCCTGTCAAGAGGAAGGAAGAAGGCTGAGATCCAGCCAGCCAGCCACCCAGCCCGGCTTTAGGCTGTAGCCCAGGGCAGGGACAGGCTGGCTGAGCTGGCCAGCGTCCCAGTAGTGGCCCCCCTCTTTCCCTTCCTTCGTACTCCTTCTAACCCCCTCCAAAAACTTCTGGAACCACCTGTAAGCTTTGTTCTTTAATACTTGGACAAAGCAACCTACGCTTGGTTCAGAATGACACTTTGCTGGAGGTGGGAATGAGGCTGTGCCCACCCCCTGCAGAGGGCCCTGCAGCCTTGGGTAGGGTTCCCTTTCTCTCTCCCCCACCTCAGGGAAGCCAAGGAAGCACAGAGAGCTGGAGTCATGCCCGGCCCCACCTCTTTCCTGCTGGGTCACCCGGAGCAGGTTACTGACCCTCTCTGGGCCTCAGTTTTTTCCTAAAGTGAGAATAAAAAAGTCTGTCCTGAAAGGTGGTTGGCTGAGAGAGTACAAGGAGAGAGCGCTCCAGATCTTGGTATTGGGTAGGTGCAAAGAGAAGCCCAGCTGGTTATCCAGCCCCTGATGGGGAGGAGCCCCCAGGGGCCCAGCGGGCTTGGGGGCCTTGGGAGTACCCGACTTGGCTTCCGTCATCCAGAGCAGGAATCTGGGCGCTGCCCGGGCTCTTCCCGGGGTCCCCGGAGCAGGGCTGGGGGGGAGGATCTCGGCCAAGATGCCCCAAAGCACACCCCTTCCCAGGCCCCGACGGGGATTTGAGGCCCAGAGAGGGGCGGCCCTGGGGCCCCTCCTTCCCCCCGCCTGACCCGGCCTGGGTGAAGGGGCCCGGAGCTCCGGAAACCCGGCGCCCTCCCGCAAGCAGCCCAGCCGGGCGACTGGCCGGGTCACTGTGGGGCGCCGCCAGGGACTTTAATTCGATCCATGTGCGGGACGCTGTCCTCTTTGTGCGGGAGCTTCCGCCCTGCCCACCTCTTCCCCACCCTGCCGCCCCGCTCCGGGGCAGGGACACCAGCCCTCCCCCCGCTCCGGGGACAGAGGCCGGGGGCCGGGACCCAAGGCTGCAACCCCGCCCCCCGCGGGCCCCCTCCAGGAGCGCCGGGATTGGGGTCCCGGCCGGGGAGGGGGGGGCCGGGGGGCCGGGGTGGGCTGCGGCCCGGGACTGCCCGCGCTGTCACCTGTGTGCGGCCGGGGCAGGGTCGGAAGGACGGCGGCCCCCCCCGCGCCCCGCGCCCCGCTTACCTGCGTCGCCTGCGCCCCAGCGGCTCCGGTCCGACGCCCGAGCGAGCAGAGCCGGGAGCGGCGCGGCGCCTCCCGCCCCCTCCGCCCTCCCCGCCCCCTCGGCTCCCTCCGCCCCGCCGCCGCGGCCGCCTTACCATAAAAGGTGAAGCTTAGGGGGAGGGGGCCCGGGATTCCCGCCGGCGGAAGCGGCCCCTACCTGCCCCCCCACCTGCCCGGCCGCGCCCCGCGCCGCCCCCCCGCCGCCCGCCCTTTGTTCCCTCGACCACTCCTCCCGTCCCCTGGGCCCGGGCCTGGGGTGGGAGGCCTCCCCTGCTGCCCACCCCCGGGGCCTTTGTGGCCCAGCGAGGTCCTTCCGCTCCTCCTTCCCTAGGTCACCTGGGTTGGTGGCCCCACCTGCCCTGTGGGTGTGTGTGTGTGGCGGGGGGTGGTACTTA